TAAATTACTGGTGGACAGATTTGCTCTTAGGCTTTGCAACAATTGGACCGCCTTTAGACGCGATCCAAATCTGGGATTAGTGCCACTAGATGATTAACACCTTTTGGTCATGATTCAAAAACTAAAAAGGAAAAAGGAAATAAATAGCTTGAGAACAAAAAAGTTTGAGGTAAGTTTTAAAAGGGCATTTAGCGCGTGTAGCTCGCGTCTGATGTGTTAGGTGTGATTTGTTTGGGTGGAAGTTGGAGAGTGGTTCGGCGTTTGGGTGTTTTCTTGGTGGAAAGAGAGGGGCCGTCTTTTTTTAACAGCAAACACATTCGATCCCACAGTTATGTTTAAACTTTCACTTTGAGCCAAAGCTGTGAGTGTGACGTAAGCCCTTCCCTCGCTGTTACCTGAGTCAGGCTTGTTTATACACCAAGAAGCTTCTTATCCTCTTGACTGTTAAGACTACGCAAACATATGCATCACGCTATTGCCTAAAAACAGCTGAATGAAAAGCATGCAGTCTTTCATCAGTCTACCACCTCACTCAACACCGTTTATACCTGTGTCACAGTCAAATTGTGCTGAGAAGCACTCCCACATTTGGCTGTTTGAGTGGGTAGCATTTGGCCGCTGAGCCGCGGACATCTTCACACCCACCCTTCTTATCTTTTTCTCTGGATATGCAGTAATGCCAGTTACCGTGTGAGTGGGCTGGTGCGGAAAAAGGGGGAAAGTTGGCCGCAGCGGCATTCGCCATCGGCCCACACAGAATTATTCCATGTGATGATATAAATCTTATTTAATGATGTGATAGCGGGCAGGTTCTGCCAGCCGCGATGAAAGGAAACGAGGTGTCCGCCGCGTGCACCTGCAGAAGCGAAGACCTTTCAGGCAGTTGGATGTGTTCACGCACCCAGGAGGTCTATCTTCGCTAGAGAGGGTGAAAGCCATGTCCAGACTGTGCCTGTGTTTATAGCAGCCCAACACCATCCGATAATTTGACTTTTTGAACACATGGTTGTCCTAGATTCTTATCTGCTGTATTAGTGAGCAGGCTACAACTCTGGAGGGAGAAAAAACAGGAGGTCTGGTTTTCACCGTCTGCAAGCGGCTGATGGCAGATGATCCATTTTGCCTGCTGATAAATTGTGATTAGGTGATTAGGAGTTTGGAGGATGAAACTTGGAGTTGGAGTTATTTTAGCACCAGTACGGCCGTTACCCTTGGTTGATTAAATACCCATCTTGTCCCGTCCCTTGTCCTATTTTTAGCCTGGAAGCACTGAGACCTTGCAGATTTCTTCTGTTTTTAGCTTTTTTCATCCTCTTCCTCAGTCAGCCCTGGCCAGATTCATCTCCATTAGCATCACCGTCTTTTGGGAACACCTCAGAAGTGGTACAAGTTGGACCGGATCGGGTACTGCGAGCAAGTGATTTAATTGACAGCAGACTCTATTCGTTGATTGTCTTTTTTGATTTACGTCAACAAAATCTCAACCATCATTTTCAGTCCACGACAAGACCATAGAAGTTAGTGAGACGATGAGCTGCAAATCGATAACTCTGTGATCAAACTTTGAGGCCCAAACCTTTTTATGTCGATAAAAGATTTTGGAGAAAGTAGACATCCGAGTCACAGTCCTGTGAGGATACAAGATCTTGGTGAAAATTGATGTAATGCCAGATGGAAATATCTGGAAGTTTATCTTAGTAATGCCACAGCGAATGTGTCCCATAGTTTAAATGCAAAATGCAGTTTTTAAATGTTGATTTTATTCATTAAGGAGAGTTATCCTTATCCAAAGCGCAGCTGTACAGGCATCCCTAAACCATCACTTTTTTATATAGACGCTTCCAAGTCCTACCGCTTTTATTTGGATGATTACTTGCTTTCTTTTTCAAAAGTTCCTACCTTCAGATTCAACTTTTTGTTTGTTTAGTATTCCAATAAACGCCCGACACTCTTTAATTACTTCTACTTGCAAATGTATTCAGTTTCGCTTTTCTTTCTTTCGTGTATAAATTTGGATTTCTTTCCCCCTCAAGTCAATATCTCAGGGCTATTGTTTCAGATGAGCTGAGTCCGGGTGATTTCACACCAAGCGTAACTCGTGTAGGTAATGATGACGGCGGTGCTTTCAGTAACCACAACAGAAACATTCGCATAAAAACCCAGGATAGTGTCAACTAATTATGCTGCATTAGGATGTTGCACAGTAACTCCGCGCGAGCAGATCTACTTCATTAGTTGTTTATTTTTGCGTCGTGCGTTTTCTGCGGCTGCTTTATTGTGAAGCGAACAGAAAGCAAAGGTAATAAGAGGACATGAGCACAGAGGAGGAATTATCCTGCAGCAGGTGCATCTTCTGGATATTTCTCTCAAGGCACACATGGAGGATTAGCTGCTTTACACCCACAGATGCACACACACACAAGCGTGAATCACTGCCTTTCACACATGCACACACAACTTCACCGTTCGAGATATGTTGATGGAAAATGACGGATGTTTCATAAGCAAAACAAGGTGTTTTTTTTTCATTATCTCAGCGCTGATACTGTTAGATTTGACTCAGCGTTACCGCATTGTCATGCAAGTGCTATATTCAAGCTGTAGTTACACAACTCAATCACTCTTATTGCATCTTAAAACCCAAAAATATCAATAAAGCACCCCCACTGCTTCAGCGTACTGCTGCTGGAGGAAGGGAAAAAAATGCCATGCTCTGTCAACCCAAATCCAGCTTTGGAAAGCTTCAACTCCCACCTCTCCAATTCAGCTTTCTCGACTCATCCTCCTCCTCACACTCCCACTCGCACTCATAATCCATAACGTTTTGTTTCGCTGCTACACCGATGACATCCAGCCGAATTTCCCACAGAACCCGATGAGCCGAAAAGCTCCCTTTGCTCCCTTCGGTACAGGACGTTCTAGGACAAGAACCAGCGAGAACGGAGAAGGTTTTCCTCCGATTAAAACACAACATACGTTCTTTCACCTGATGTGATTAATGGCTAATTTTGTTTATTCATTGGCTTTAATCTTAGTGGATTTCTGCTTCTTTATCTTCAGTTTCAAGGGAAACAACTGATTGTCAGGTGACTTAGCAGTTGGGAGTGACGTTTGTGGGAATAATACAATCAGGTTTTTGTGTTTCCAAGCAAGTTATGCAAATGTCAGCAACTTAGGAACAGAAATTTTCTTTCTCCAGATTTTGATTTCAAAATAAAATTTACAATTCTCTCACTTCTGCTTTTATCACTGTCTTCCTTCCACTCAATGTTTTATTAAAATGCCTATATGCAGTATTCTGTTACCTTCCGGCTTGATTAGAAATAACCTTTTGTAGTTCATTGAGTACCTGTTAGGCAAACATCACGTCAGCATTCTTCTGGTGTTGAGGCCACTTGGATCAGAAACTGGGGTAGCAGAGGGAATAATTAGAGTTAAATTGCAAAATAAATGTCCTGTTTTTCACCAGGAACAGCTGGCTAACACGAAAGCCAACGCTTGTGAAAAAGGATAGATGAGCTAAATTAAATAAAATCACACCAAGAAGATGGCGGCTAATTTATGCTCCTGCCAATCACTGAATATAATTCCAATAGCATGGTATAATATAATTATTTATATATTTATTTATTTTGTGTTTAAAGTTCACTTTCTGAACTGAATTACTAATATAAATTAAATTTTTGATTATATATTTTTTTTTACTGAGATGCAACTATCAGTATTTAGCTTAATTTGCTGGTTTGTTTCGATTTGGCTATAAAACTGTAGGTTGGAGCACCACCCTGTGGTGACTGACAGATATAGCAACAGGGTTTTTTGGGGAGGGGGGTTTGTTTAGATTTTGTGGCGCCATCAATCTTTTTTTATGGTAATTTAATAGGAAGTGGGAAGACAGAAAATTGGGGAAGACATGCAGCAATTATCGGGATTCGTTTCCGTGTACAGGGCGCTAACGCTACACGACAGAAACTTCATATTAAAAAAAAAAAAACAGCTCCTGCTTAGAGAATTCAATTTACACAAATAATGAACCACACTGCAGCACAGCTAGCTCATACAGAAAGCTAGAAAAACAGCACCATGTGGTGCCGGTTGATTGTTGCTCAAAAAATAAAGCAAATTAATACTTTTTTTTAAAACTTGTGGTTGCTGTTGCACAGACCGTTATTATAGATTGTACATCTTTTGTTGTTTCTTTAATTTTAAAAAATGAGTAAAAATGAGTCACTTGTTTGCTAACTAAGAAAGTTGCAAGTTCATTTGATTTCCATAACAAAGCTAGTCAAAGAAGCCTCTTTTGCATTTGTGTTTCAGGTGTGTAACAAAACAAACAAATCCATGTATAGATTATTCCCACTAAAATGATTAATAAATCTTTCCGCCGTGATGACAAAAGCCACAGTCGGGTATAAACCGAACCATTAGGAGGAAAATAATTATTAGGGGAGGTATTTTCCTGGTGTTGTGATTGCAGGGTCATTATGCTCTCCCTAATGAAACAAACCAGCGGAGAGCCTCCATCTCGACTGTAGCCGTTATCATCACCCTTCAGAGAATGTAAAAAGAAAACACTTCAGCAGCAGGCTAATTAAAACCAGAGAGGTCTGGATGAGGAGGCCAAACAGCCCACACAGGTGGCGCACACATCAATGTGTGTGTGTAAGGCACTGCCCTGCATCATGTTTATGCATGGTCCGCGTGAGAGTGGGTGTGTGTGAGGAAGCAATTCATGCTTTTTCTTCTGTTGTTATTACGAGTGGGTGTGTGTGAGAAGGAGGATGCGGAGTTCTCCGTTCGTTTTAATGGCGGCTGCCGTCTTCCTCGTCTCCACCGCTGTCGGGAAGGACCCAGCTTTTATCTGACAGGACCCCACTCAAATAGGCCATTGGTGCTCCATAATTAGTTCAAATGTCGAAGTTGGTGAATAATTGATGATCGGGGACGAGCGGGGAGGAAGACATTTCACATCAACAGTTTTTTCTCTCTTTTTTTTAAAGGACAGCTGGTGCTGTGCGGTTCCCACCGCAGACATGAATCTCTGGTGTTGAGGCCACAAGAGGATGCACTCGGAGCGGAAACTGGGCTAGTAAAGGGAATAATTACAGAGCTAAACTGCGAAATAAATGTCTTGTTTTCACCGGGAACAGGCGGCCAAAGGGAATACAGACGCTTGTGAAAAACAGATACCTGAGCAAAAATAAAGCCAACCACACCAAGAAGACAGAGGCTAATTTATGCTGCTGCCAATCACTGAATATAATTGCAATAGCATGGTATAATAGCAGCTCAGGACTAGTCATTTTCCCCCTCCGGCTCTATCTCAGGTGCTTGGAGAGGTTTCCATCAGCTCCTGATTTTTCAAGAGAGACCTCTCAGACAGAAATGACAATGGACTTTCAATGACTTATAATTATGCCACTTTCCTGCACAATTTCCTGCCGGTCATTTGCATTAAGACTCATGCGGGTGAAAGTGAGCCACACGCTGCTCTGCTAAAGGCCCTCGGATCGGCCCCATGCCTCAAATTACCAGGTGCTCTAGCACTTCTTGGAACGTCTCTGCTCCCCCCGCCGCTGTCCTAAAGTTATCCGACTCTGTTAATTGGATGGATGACGTCCAGAACGTGTGACCGCGTGAGGATCGCAGAGAGGCAGGCGCCTCGGATTCGTGCCACGGAAACCGGCGTTCGCCGTTTCCTCTCTCCAAGGTTATTCAACATTGCATCTTGTGTTCTCCAAAAACTAAAATCCTTTAAAAAAATAAATAAAAAGTGATGCTGAACGCATTGGTGATCCGTGTTGGATCCGGGGCCAAATGTAATACTGCCATCTAGTGGACATGATGGGAAAAAGACTGCTTATTAACAGTAGGGGAAGAAAATAATTTGAGTTCATATTTAGAAATAAAAATCTGAATTGTCTAGCGTGTGTTTGTACCTGACATTTTAGAGAAGTTTGGTTTTATTTAAGGGTGAATACATGTAAAAACACACTAGGTGATTCTAAAAATATTGAAAACTTTACAAAAATATTTGTCATAAGAAATCCTTCCGTTTTTTTTTTTTTTTTTTTAGTAACTAATTAAGTTAAATCTGCTGCCTCAGCTGCTCTAGTAATCATGTGACGGCTCAGATTATATTGTGTGAGGGACGTAAGGTTTTTTTTGTATCTATATGAAGCATTTTTCACATTCTTCCACATGCAGTCAGCAGATTGGGCGATGCTTTCCTTTCAGATGGCTCTTAATTCTGGGATTTGTTGCTCTCAGAAGCGGCTCTCGTTTCCCCCCCATCACTCTCTGCGGATCTTCGCGCAGTAGGCGTCTCTCGTAGCGTTTTGAGAGGTAGCTGAAAATAAATCACCGCCCTCCCACCAGTACGCAAGCATGTCCAGATGGTGGAGTTTTCACTGACGTCCCCCCGCTGAATTTCCCCCCATTGTCTTCCTCTCTAAAATTAGAAGGCAATACTTGGTTGAAAAGCGCTGCGTCTGCTCAGATGGCGCTGGTTAATTATCAGGAACTGGATTTATGTGCCGCCCACAAGTGAGCCGTAAAGGCAAAATCGTTTGAGAGTTTAGCAGAGAACCCTGAAGAGTTTAAATTTTGGGGTTAACTTTCAGAGGCCTTTGCTTAATTTAAATAAAATTCATGAAGCAGGAAGATACATGAATCTGTTTTATATCATTATCCTTGTGTTTTTTGTCATGACAAGTGTTGACTTTCTTACATGGAAATAAGATCTCCAGCTTATTTTTATGCAATAACATCTCATTTATTTCATTATCTTGACATAATGAGTTTGTTTTGACTCAGACTTCATTTTAATGGACGGATAATGAAATCCAAGGCTTGTTTTTACGGCATTAACAGCTTAATGATGTCTTGATATGAAGGCGTGATGCGCCGAGGGTTTCAGTATCTGCTTTCTTCATCATTGTTCCGGTTGAGGCGTTCAATGTTTCCCCCAGAAAACCTGCTAAACCCGGAGGTCGGGGCAATCTGCAGGCTGCTGAGTTTTTGAGTTAAAAAGTGTTTAAAGTTGACAGGAAATTTTAAAATATCACTTTATTATGTGCTATTGGAAGATCAATACCTGAACACCAACTATAAGGTCTTATAAAATGCAAACATTTTTTAAAAACTTTAATAAACAATCCTACGCCTGGTGGGGACACAAGTAAAGCCTGGTGACCCACCAGGCTTAGAATACACTGAGGGAGTCTCTGGCCATTGCTGTTTGGACAATTAACCCCCCTGGGAGGATTTTTGCTCCATTTTATTTTTTTTTTTACTTTTAAACAGCTGTTAAGATGAAACTATGTTTTACTTTTGTGTAAAAATTGATAGCCGTCAGTGAAACAGATGTAAAACAAGAAGCTATTTCCCAACCAAAATTAAAATTACTCCACTTTCTTCATTCCTATGACCAGAAGAGCCTTTTATATTCCAACACTTTTTGCAGAAAGCAAAATCTATACATTCCAGAACTGCAGGAACCAAAAATATCTCCTTTTTCCATCTCTTCATGTTAGTCAATAGAAGAAAATGGGAAACAATGGCTGTCAGTTTTGCGTGTTTTTATTTGGGCTCCCAATACATAAGTCAAGGTTTTGTTCATCAATACAGTCTGCTTTGGATTTTAATACAATGGAGTCATTTGGACTGATGCAGTAACCAACACTTCTGAACTACAGTCCTATATACACAACTTTAGAGATCTGTATTTTCAGATGGTTAATAACATTTATCATACTGAATAGCGATTGACTAGAACAATCACGAGATTTTTTTTTTGTTTTGTTTTAATTTTAGCTGCTATGCTTTCGATGCACATCCACAGCAGTGTTAGCTTCGTCTGTAGCTCTGAAATGAGTGCTCACCAGGTTCTGGTAGGCCTTTAAATAGCAAATAAATCGGGCCTCCCATTTGTTCAGCACTCTGTAACGTTAGCAGACCATTTTTCCCTGGATCATATACAAAAGTCTGATCCATCCTCCCCCACCGCACCGGAGGGAGGCGCTCTCTCTTTTATCAAAAAATGTTTAAGACCTGAGATTTCTGTGGAACAAAACTGAAGGACAACAAAAAAATTAAGTGTAAACTATCACAAAGGCAGCAAAATGTCAGCCATTTTTCTTCTTCTTCCTTTTCCTCTTTTTGTGACTTAAAACGTGCACATTAAAATAACGTTTAAAGGAATTATTTTCCAGCTGCATTCCTAAAACAACTCTTACATGGTTTTTTTTTCTTTTGTGTTGCGAGGAATTAATACACAGCTCTATAGTTTGATAGGAATCATCAATAATCAGTGTGTAGACACGACTGAGGGTGATGCAGATAACTTAAGACGGATAAATTTCACTTTTTAAACTCTATAAAACCTCATCCTAGATAAATCTAGGGACTCACAGTTACAAGTTCATTCCTTGGGCACTTAGTAAAGAGTCCAGCATGTCAAAAGTGTTTTTGTAGTCAGTGTGTTGGCCGTTGGACAGCAGCATGCCGTTCGTCCCATCGTGGAGCTCCATCGCTCTCTGGCCGCCGTCCGAAGGGTAGTGAGCCGAGCCGACGCCTCCCTTGGAGGACCTGCTGCTCTTGGAGGACGAGTGGTGGTGGTGGTGGTTGTTGTGGCCGCCAGAGTCGGCATACTGTCTCTTACGGGACGAGCCGGAGGAGCTGCTGTCGTTAAAATGGCCGCCAGAAGCTCGGACAGAGAAGGCGGCGCCGTCGGCCGTCACCCTGCTGTTCCCGCCGATGGAGTATGAGTGGGAGTGGCTGTGTTTGGAGTGGCGGTGTCCGCCGTGCTCTTTGTGCTTGTCCTTCCCCGACAGAGTGGCGCCCTGATCCGAAGAAACCTTAATTCTCATTTTGAACTCCTCGCCCGTAACGGAGCCGTTCTCGGTGTAGGAAGAGGCGAGCCGGGGCTTCTTCGAGCTCGCCTTCTCCCGCCTGCCGTCACCCGACTGGCCGGCCTGCGGCTGGTGCTGCTGGGAGCGTCTCTTGTGGTGGTGCGAGGAGACGGCTGGGGGAGCATAAACGTCGGCGCCGAGCTCCTCCTTGACGCCATTCTGCAAGGCCAGCTCTCCTGCTTGCTTCACCCTGTACTTCTCCAGAGTCAAGACTTTCTGCGGCCGTGAAAAGGAAGCGGCGCCCAGCGGCTCGTGGTCGCTGCTGGAGCCGGCGGCTGTGGCTTTGTGTTTGTGTTTGACTAGCGTGAAGTCTGAGTGGGCAGGCTGGGAGAACTGGTCGCTGAGCTGCTGGTACATGGGGTAAGAGGCAGCTATGGAGCTCAGGCTGGACATTTCTGAGGAGTTTGACGAGGAGGTGGAGGGGAAGAAGGAGTTGGTTACACCAGGAAGGCCGTCTAAGGACGTCCCCTGGAAGGCACTCTCCACAGCCGAGCCTTCAGTCTTTGGTTTCTTTGCTGCTTGAATGGCCTGCAGAGGGACAGATCAGAGCATTGTGAATCAACGCGTCACTGCAGCAGGTCATGTAGGTGGATCATTCTGGACTTACCCTCCAGTTTCGTATCCTCTTCAGCTTGCTGGGCGTCCTCTCCAGAATCTGAAGGAACTCATGGGTGAGCTCTGGAAGCAACAAAAAGGGCAAATATTAAATCTGCAATAATTTGATACACAAATTATTGTGTATCAAATATTTGATACACAGGATAGAGACAGAGAATTTCTGGGTTCTCTGTCCTTTTACAACAATTTCAATTTGCAGGAGGTATTTCTACAGACGTCTGTGGGACCAGGAAAATGTAGAATAGATGGTTGGATAAACTGATGGATAAGTAGATGGATGGATGAAACTGTAAAATGGACGGATGTTTGGTTGAATATATTGAAAAACAACCCAACTAAGACAGGTGTGGTTCGTTTTTCATCCTTAAATTAAACTCCAGACTGCAATCACCATGGTTTTACATTCTCACCATCTAGCAGCTGTAGCGTTACGGTGCGGTCCACGTACTCCCACCAGTGTTTCCCGTCTGTGGACACCGGGATCTCCCAGTTGGACCACTTGCAGGCCAGGTGGATGCAGACACATGCAACCACTGTTGGCCTGTACTGCAGGCAGAAGGTGGTGAGGTGCAAACTGCAAGAAGAGACATGACACACCCCAGAGATACATCACTGTGTCCAGAAAAGATCACCCAGCTCATTCAACAAACAGCGACTAAGTTATCAACATCCATTTTCAATTGTCATCTTACCTTCTAGAGCTGGAAAATGTTTAAAAACATTTATGACATGGTGTTAAAAATCTGGGCGTTTATTGTAATAAAGTCTTCATTGCAGACAGTATGAACCAGGAATACTTTCTTTCATGTCATCATTTTGTTTATGCACACATTCAAAAGTTAGCTACCAGAATGCGGTGACACAGGAAATTAAATAGGGAACAAATAAGCTAAATGGGCCGAGTACTTCCGCCTGCCACAGCTGGTTACCATAGAAACTGTGGATAAGGACCAGTGGGGAGACCCTGCTGAACATCAAGTCCTCTTGACGGGAAAAACAAATTATTCTGCTGCTTCTCTCAAGTGGTTTTTGGTCTCTTCCTGACAATTTGAGGTTCAAAGCCTTAACTTGTGTGAAATCGCTTTCTTTTTCTGTACGTGTTCCTCCAGTTCAGGCCCAAAATAACCAAAAAGCTATATAGCACATGGTAAATAATTAAATAAAGGCCGTTATTCCTGTTTATACTTTCTGCAATGAGGTAGACGACATATTAAAAGTAAGAATTACTCAAGGTTTTTAAGATTATTAAACATTTTTCCCCTTTTCTAACATAAAAAAAAGTAAAAATTCTAAAATATAAAGCTACATTTGTTTTAAAAAATTAGCAAAGAGAGCAAAAGCACAACTCTTATGTCTAAGAAACACATCTGGTTGACTTAATGTTTAACAGGGTTAGAACTTTTCCCAGTTATTTGTTGGCACCCCTGATAGAAATGGGAAAACCTTAAAACAGATTAATCATTAACAGCAAATATTTTTTAGTAAACATTTAAAAATGACAAAATGATCAAATATGTCATGAAAACATACCGACCCAACAGCAAAACAAATCCTCCACCTTAACCAAGAGTGAACTGGTAGAAATACATCTTTTTAACTAAATATTTACACCAAAATTATCTACATTTACATTTAAAATAAATGGGACACGCTTCAATCTGTTCAGAATAATCTCTAAACTTTGATTTTATATTAATGTACTCAAATTAAAAACTGGATTTCCTTGTTTTCAGTGCAAGATTAAGCCACTGCAGCCAAATATTTATTTTAAAGCAAACATCCAATTAAAAAAAAAGATTGGCACTGTGATAATATTTTGTGTTTATCACATATTTTTAGAACAAACACTAGAAACCTTGAAAGACTCCTCAAATTCAACTATTTAAAGCATAAACTGAAGGTTAATACAGATGTTTTAACTTATTTATCACCTGGTTGATTTATTCACTTTTATTCATTTAATTATAAATAATGTTTTAATAGGAGGTCGTATTAGTTTGCATGCAAATTAAAGTGACCTGCTGCTACCAACACTGCCACAAGATGGCAGTAATAAAAAGAGAGGATGTTTCATCTCATGCTTTCATTATTTAAATGTTCTGCCATTTTTGTACGTTTGTTCGGTTTTTCTTCCATGTATTTATACAATGAGTACAAAACGGATGGGGTTTTAAGTAAAAAAAAAAGGAAAGAAAGAAAGAAAAAGAAGAATCTTTTAGCTGGCAGTATAGTTTGTCGTTTCTGTAAAAGGATAGGTAAAAAAAATGTTTAAAAAATACAGAAAAAAAATTTTAAAATTAAGAAAAAACTGAACTATACTTACCAAGAAACTCTATAAGTTAAAGAATCTTTAGCGGCAATCTATATTCAGGCTACCGTTTGTGTTTTTTAGACATGTGCACTCGGTACCAAACAACCCTGAGAGGTAAACAGCAACACTACACTCCACACTGTGCATTCAACCCCTCTGTGCCAACACTGAGCCCTTGTACAATACACCGCACACAGCAGCCTGGCCGGTACTTCCCAGCGTGGGGGTTCCCAGGGTCCAGGCTGCACGCAGGGCGTTGGACACAGGAAGGGGGACCCTGCAGGACAGGAAGCCATAGTGTGCCATTACAGTGCAAGAATGGGAACAGGATAATAACCTGTTGGTAGCCATGAAATAGGAAGTCTGTGCCAAATCCTTGCTTGCTGTAAAAGAAGAGAGAAAGATGCTTTAAAATTCGTTTATATAACAAGCTTTTACATCACAACATGCACTCTATGTAGTTTGGGAATCCATGAAACCAAAAAATAAATAAAATTAACGTTCCCTTTAGCTCAAATAAACTTGATTTACTGTAAATCTTTGCAAGAAAAAAAAAGGCAATACCTCGCACTAGCTGGGAACACCTCACAACATCTGTGTGAGGATGATCAACTGTAATTTCAAAACCTGTAACCAACATAGAAAGAAACATGTTAATGTGAAAACAAAACAACAACAAAAATCAAACAGTGACTCGACGCAGACATTGAATAAAACGAGGCGGATTTCTCACCCAGCGTTTGCAGCACTATCGTTTCCAGGGCTACAAGCTCTTGTGCCAGCAGTTGGAATGCCTGAAAAAATAAAAAGAAAGAAAGAAATGCAAAATATGCGTCTTATTCTGCATGTACTATCAAAGTCAAAGCAAGGTAATGTTTTAGAGCGGTCCAGTTAAAGCACAAAGTTGTGTGTTTGAGAGAAAACTTGAATAAAAATATGTGTATATAGCTGGCAAAGAGGAATTTGGAGTTGCATTCCCTAGAAAAATCTGTGAATACAGAACTGCAAATGTTCCATCAATTACAGAGAGGCTGGATGAACTCAGTTCAGCAGCCACAGTGGGGGGTTTTCTCCCATCTAT